TTTTTTTTTTTTAACTTACCTACAGATCTTTACAGGAGATGTTTTCTGTATGAAAATAAAGAGAACTATAATTAGATTTTAAGAACTTATTTTTTTCCTCCTTGAAAGAAAACATTTCCATCAAGAGGAAAATAAATCATGGGTAAGTTTATTAGGGGGCTTAACAGCTTGCTGCACTTTGGTATTAAATGAAGCCTTTTCTGCTTGGACCAAATGAAGGATGACTCAGAGTTCCAGGGTTGAGTCACTTGGGCAAAGCACTTTCACCATGAAAATGATGTTTACCCGTGAAAAAACTAAATGATGCCGCAGCTAAGTCTTCAAAAACCTTACACACCAAGAAAAGGAGAGAGAGGGGAAAAAAAAAAATCAATGTAACCTGTATTAAAAAAGCAATTAGGCGCCTGTTCAACTTCCATTCCAGTTCTGTCTCTTTAAATATTCCTTTCATTAATCCAGCTCTGACTCTAAGCAATCCTATAAATTATCTGGTGTGACATGAAAATTAAGAAATAGGAAAAAAAGAGAAGGGACATTTTACTCCACCCTAGGCAGAAGGGAAAGAAAACAGCAGATTGATGGAATATAAAATTGGCATTTAAAGCTCCTTGAAATGACAAAATTTTCGTTCGAACTTTTTAATTAGTTTAAGGAAATTAGTCCTTTGCACTGAGGACTAATTTTTATGTGTTAACACATGTTAATTCTGAACATTTCAGAAAGATTTTTATTGTTTTATTATTATTATTTTTTTTTTTAGCAGGCCTGGGCTGGGTTCAAACCCACCAGCCCTGGTGCATGTGGCCAGCGCCCTAACCACTGGAGCTACGGGCACCCAGCCACAGAAAGATTATTTTGCCAGTTGGGGACAAACTACAATTTTTGACAGCAGTTCAGGTAAAGTGTAAAGTATAAACACATTGTTGAGATGTGAAGGGCTGACAAGAGAAACATACATGGCTGTTACGAAGGCTATCTTAAGTTTTCATATGTTGCTTAATGACCAACTTTTTGCAAAAACAGATTCTATTTGTGTGCAAAGCTGAGGCTTCCGTCTTTCAAATCTTTAATCTCTGATCTTTGTCCAACCTCCACCTCTAGAGGCCACCCTGACCACGCTGCCACCTGGTGAGAGGTTAGCCTCTAAGCACAGAAAGGCCGAGGGCAAAGATGATGTGGCTCATGATATCTGCATAACTGCCCCATTATGGAAAAATGTGTTACTAAAGGATTCTGTGCTGAATATTGCCGACCTCTCAACAGTCTGGTGGTACAGCAGAAATAATGGAAAGAAACTAAATGGGTGTTCCAACTCTTCCATGAATACCACGTTCACCCAGTGACCGTTCTAGGACACAATTTTACAGGGCAACAAATCAATCCAGTGCCTGAAAGAGTTCACCCTTTCCAGAGGATTCTTTTTTCATTTTATTAAACTCCTTCTAATTAACAGAGCTCAGAACTGAGATATAGGGAGTAAAAAGCGAGTAATATGTCCATTATTTAGCTCTATTCCTCCTGGGGCTCTGGGAACTACCCAGATAACGTCAGGACATTTCACCTTTTTAGGCACCTCAGTCCAAAAGCAACCCCAGTAATAAGTCCTAATTTCATTGCAGGGTTCCGAACGGGTCAGTGTAACTTCTCAGAGGTCACGGTACCAAAACTAACAATCAAAAGCTAACTCTGGGTGAGCTAACTTACTCTGGGGGCTACTTACTCTGTGCAAGAATTATTTCAAGGGCTCTCTGTGTCAAAAATTTTAGTTTTTTCTCAACCAGCAAAATGACATTTTTGAAATGTTCTGAATGAATTTATGTTAACATGTACAAATTAGTCCTCAGGACAAAGGACTACTTTCTTTAAACTGACTAATTAAAAGGAGTCCATTTAATTTGGGTTAATTAAGTCATGTGTTAAAGGTTACAGATGAGGCAGTGAGCCCACCTCCCAGTCCTGCAGTGACCCTCCACTGGTCCCCTTAAGCCACTGGCCTTCATTTGCTGCTTCCTCCGGCTGCCTGGAATGCCCTTTCTTCTTGTCCAGCTGGAATCTCCCTCCCCATCCTGTGTGACTCAGCCCAAATCCTGCCCCTGGGGAAGCTTTCCCTGCCCCTTCCAAACAGCCTTACTAGTGGTCACCCCCAGCCCAGTCATCACCCTATTCCAGACCATACAACATTCTCTGGGCATTCTACAGGCGTCCCAATCCAAGGTCACAGATCAGCTCCTTCATACCTATGAGGTTTGTAAAGGTAAGAAACGTGTCTTCTACATCTCTAGAGCTTTAGGCCTAGCAAGATGTTTGACATTAATTATCTACTTAATAAATGTTGAACGAATAAATAAATGAATAGCAATATTCCAATATTAAACTGTAATAAGTAAGTCTACAAGGTAGTAAGATTTCCATGAGCCAGGAATTCTGGGAAGATGGCTGACTGGTAGCAACCTTCAGCAGGGGCTCCCGACCAGAGAAAAACTAGATGGAACTGGACTCTATGAAGCCACAGGTGGGGAACTGAGCCAAGATATAAGTTTGGCAAGCTGTAACTCCAAGGAACAGCACTCAAGAAAACAAATTACAGGTACAAAGTCTATGGACTAGAGGACGGGAGACCCCTCCCCCAAGCAGGAGGCCTGCTACAGGCTATCTGTGAGCAAGCAGGGAACAAAAGAGGAAGGAAAGAAGGAGGGAGGGAGAGAGGGAGGAAGGGAGGAAGCCATAGGTGAATATGGCCAAGGGTGTGGATGGGCTCACCCAGAAAGTATGTGGCCTAAGGACAGAGGCTCCCAACATGGCCCTGGAAAACCCCCAGGGGCCAGACAAAGGAACAGGCAGAGGAGGACGGTCAGCTGTGAGGGAAGAGCCCAGTAGTCAGGAAGAGAAGCAGGCAGGGAGGGGCCCAGAAGGAGTCAGGAAGAGAAGCAGGCAGGGAAGGGCCCAGAAGGCCAAGGGGCCCTGAGGTGATAGGGGATGAATGGTGTAAAAAGGCATGGAAGAATCGGTGACTTCAGCCAGACTTATCTCAGGAAAACAGCGGGGACAGTCTCAGGAGTGGCGGAGGATGAGAGGGACAAAGGAGGCAGTGCTGAGCCTCATCTTGTCTGAAGCCAGTGGCCGGCAAGGAAAAGGAGGAGCAGAGGAGGAGCAGAGGCAGAGCCTGGGGCCCGAGGAGCTGGAGACATTCCCATATGAGGGCTGCTTTTGTAAAGATGCCTTCAGGACGGGGTGAATGTGAGTCCCCCAGAGCCTGCTCTCTCCTCAGTAGACTGACAACACGGAGGTTATGGGCCCAAGGACACAGGCTAGCAGTGAGGGAGAGGCTCACATAGGAGAGGAGGCTGGCTGAGGCGCCACCTCTGCCTCTGGGGAGCAGTGGCCTGACAGGGGAGCTCCAGTGGCTGCAGCCTTGGCCCATGGGATGGACACCTCTCTTTGATGCACACCTGGAAGAAGCGTAAGGCCCGAGGCAGTCAGCCAGCCTTTCTGTGTTTTAAAAGTTCTAAAATTGGTATGACATGAAATGGGCAGATGTCAGAGAAAAGGAACTCTCCAAAGCAGGATGAAATTAAAACCACCACCAATGACGTTAATAATCACAGGTGACGTGCTGGAACCCATGTAGCTGCTGTGCCCTCCCAGAAACCCTAAGAGTTGGGTGCTGTCATTATCACCTTTCAGAAATGGAGGCCCAGAGGGCAAAAGAGCTTGTTCTAGCTGGTAGAGCTGCGATTGGAACAAATTTCCCCAAGGTGGGCTTAGATCCCTGCACCCTGGGTGAAACCTCCACGCCAAATGCTTCCTGGGAGAATGCCTCCCCATAAGCCCACAGAAATGTGCTCTAGTCTCCTGAGGGTCTGGGTCAGCCCTGGCCTGGAGCTGAGCTCAGTTCACATGGATAAGTCCTCCCGCTTACGTTTGGAGAACTACGGCCATGTCAAACCCGTGTTCCTTGAAATCAGTGACCATTGTTAAGAAGTCTAAACTGGAAATTGGTGGCAGGAAAAGGCAAATGCTAATTCAGGCCACAGAAAGAAAAGTGCTTCTTTGAAATTTAAGGAAAGCAAAACTAACATTTTGCATGATCATTTACCTCTTTCCGAAAACACTTCTGGTACCCACAGATGATAACTTCAGCTACATTATGCAAAGTGAGAAACACAGGAACGGCCTGAAAAAAAACAGAATAAGAAGCATGAAAATATTTTCTTCCTTCTCATAATCACTTGGTTCTTGATTTTCCCTTGAAAGTAAAGATCCATGGGATACATTCTGGCATTCACATCTACCATGTCTCCAGCACGAACTCTCAGTGCCCTTTGCTATAGTCTTCCTCTTGGTAGGATAGAGTAGAGGCTCGCCTCCTGTGGGTAGTCTCATCAGCAAGCATTTAGTAAGTCTCTGGTGTATCAGGCACAGTGCAAGATGCAGGAACCCATCCCGTGAGCACAATGGGGAGGAGATAGGAGCCTGTCTCCATCAGGTGGACATACCTAACCCAGCCCAGGGACAACAAGCCTTCCTGGAGGAAGTGAAATCCGAAGTCCAAAGGAGAACCAGATGATGAATTAGCATGGATGTGGGAAAGCGTCACAAGCAGAAGGACACACAGAAGCCAACATAGAGGGTAAATCCTGCTCCTCCAAGGACCTGGAGGAAGTGGGGCAGGGGGAGCACAATGAGGAAGGGACAAGTTAGGGACAGTAGAGTACAGGGTATTCTCGGGCTACACCAGGAGATTAGGATGGTCCTGTGAGCCCCACAAACCATAAAGAATTTTAAAGTAACCAAAGACATGATCTGCATGTTTAAAGGAACTTGGGCTGCAGGGTACAGGGCAGATAGCAAAGACAGCTGCAAAATCTAGGGGAGTCACAAGCTGAAAAGTGCCCCCCCGAAAGATATCCACATCCTAATCCTTGGAACCTGTGAATGTTACATGACGTGGGAACAAGTGGGTCTTTGCAAATGGCAGTAAATGAGGATGTTGGGATGGAGGGATGATCCTGGATTACCTGGGAGGCCCTAAATGCCATCACATGGATCCTTAAAAGAGGGGTGTAGAGATGTGACACACACAGAGAAGGGGCAATGTGAACACAGAGGCAGAGATTGGCGTGATGTAGCCACAAGCCCGGGAAAGCCAGAGGCCACTGGAAGCTGGAAGAGGCCATGAACAGATTGTCACCTAGAGCCTCAGGAGGGAGCACCATCCTGCCAACACCTAGATCTCAGTCCAGCAGCACTGATTTCAGACTTCTGGACTGCAGAACTGCTGAAGGAATACACTTCAGCTGTTTGAAGTCACTTGCATACGTGGTTTTGTTAAAGCAGCCACAGGACACTAACACAAGGAGTGAACTTGGTAATGGCAGTGAAGACAGAGAAAAGCGGACATATTAAGGAAATATTTAAGAGACTGAACTGAGGTTAAATATCTAAATAATTGGGATCAACTTTGCATTAAGAAAAATGGGGAGGAAAAATCACAAAAAATGCAACTCTCCAATGGATTATTAGGAGGCGTGTTTCCCATTGCTGGGCTGTTTGCTAACAATGGCTGTCTCTCCTAACTGGATAGGTAATCTTGACAAGGTGAGGGGAGGAACAAAGGGGCAAAGAATTCTGTTTTCTCTGTTGTTGATGATGATAACAGTGTCTCTGGGGAGGCAAGAAAAGATAAAGAATAAGAGCATGTGTTTTAAGGCCAGACGTGGTGGCTCACGTCTGTAATCCTGGCACTCTGGGAGGCTGAGGTGGGTGGATTGCTTGAACTCCTGAGAGTTCAAGACCAGCCAGAGCAAGAGTGAGATCCTGTCTCTACTAAAATTAGAAAAACTATTTACAGGTGTTGTGGCAGGTGCCTGTAGTCCCAGATCCTCCAGAGGGCTCGACTGAGCTCAAGAGTTTGAGGTTGCTGTGAGCTATGACGCCACAACACTTCACCTATGGTGACAGAGTAAGACTCTGTCTTAAAAAAAAAAAAAGCATAGGTTTTAGTATCAGTTTAGATTTCAGACACTGCTAGTGGTGGAAGATGTGTAGTCAAACTTTAGTTTTATCCCAGGTAGTGGGCGAAACAATACCTGCAGCAGCTGAAGGTGGAGGACCTGGAGGGACAGCTCAGGAGCACTGCCCAAACGCCGGCAGCTCACAACTTTCCCCGTCCCCATAAGCTCTGCCACCCACCAATCTGGGTACATCACTCCAGTTTAGAGAGCCCACTTCAAGTCTACTTTAGACAGATTTATTCTTCATCTTTATGGAAGATATGTTTTTACCTTGTTTTTAAAAAATATCTATAACTTCATATAGCTCTGCCTATTTCAGTATCCAGTTCTAACTTGCACTATTTTGGTTTTGAGTTCTTACCTTACATTTTTGCCTCTTTAAAAAATTTTTTTTTCAATTAAAAAAATTATTTTTGACGTCAGGGCTGTGGGCCAGACACAGAGGGGCAGAGCAGAGGGCCTCAATACACCCTCCAATGGGTAGGATTTTGCCTGTTTTTAAAACACTTTCTATTTTATCTTTATTAAAAGTTCAACTCTGATTGCATTAATGTACATAGTTATGCTATAAGAAATAAAAATGGAAAAAAAAGTTCAACTCAAATTAGTTTTGCTTTTAATTTCAAACTTTAATTTCTTTTTTAAAATGTATCTTTTGTGCTTTTATTCCTCTTAAGTGTTATATTTAAGAGGTTTTTGTTTCCTTAGAATTATTAAGAGATTATATATATGTTTTATTTTTTAAAGCTAGATTTTATCTATTATATAAATTAGATTATTTTTAAAAGCTAAATGTATCTAGCTAAATTTATCTATTTGATAAACTTGGGCTCTAGCCTTCTAGTTATTGGCTTGAAATGACAGCATAATAAACCTTGAATGGGTTAATCATATGGCATATGAAAGCAAATATGAAAGGGTAGATTGAATCTTATCACATTAAGATCTTATTTAAAATTATTTTTGCCTCTTTGGCTATAAAATTAGTAATGAGATCAGATTTAGGATTGAGATCACAGAATTGACCTTAACTCTAGACTTTAAGGAGGGTTAATTTTCTCAATTTTATGACCTGAAGACAATTTTCTCAACCTTCCTGACCTAGGCCCTTCCTTCTCTGATCAAATTCTGGAGAAAAGATCTACTTATAAATGTATAATTGAGGCCAGGTGGGTGGCTCACACCTGTAATCCTAGCACTCTGGGAGGCCAAGGTGGAAAGCTCCCTTGAGCTCAGGAGTTTGAGACCAGCCTGAGCAAGAGTGAGACCACATCTCTCTACTAAAATAGAAAAATTACAAAAAAAAGAAAAGAAAAAGAAAAATTAGCCTGGCACTGTGTCAGGCACCTGTAGTCTCAGCTACTCTGGAGGCTACAAGCAAGAGGATGCTTGAACCCAGGAGTTTGAGGTTGCTGTGAGCTATGATGACACCACTGCACTCTAGCCTGGGGCAATGGAGTAAGACTATCTCAAAAAAAAATGTAGAATGATTTAAGTACACTAATAATAGCTGCTACCAGTACTGTGTTCAGCACAGTGCTAATTATTTTATTTGCAATCTTATTTAAACCTCCTCCCAGCACCTCTGTTAGTAGGTGCAATTACTCTGTCTTTATAGCCAAAGAAAATGAAGCTTAGAGAGTCCAGGCAACATACTTGAGTGTGCACAGCTAGTTCAGGGGCAAAGCCGTGACTCTAATCCAGGCCTGTCTAACTGCAAAGCCCATGCTCACAGCCTCAAGGTCAGGATACCCAAAGCATGTCAAGCCCCACTGAAAACCTCCCAGACATCTAACTGTTTAAAGTTTGATAAGACTAGTGAGTCCCAAATCCTGGCTGGCTGCTTACTCCAGTAATGAAACTGGTTGGAACTAAAACGGATGAGCTCATAGTAAAACTTACACCATCTTTATTAATACAAGTGCTATCTTCAGATTGGGCATGGTGGGTCACACCTGTAGTCCCAGCACTCTAGGAGGCCAAGGTGGGTGGACTGCTTGACCTCAGGAGCTCCAGACCAGCCTGAGCAAGATCAAGACCAGCCTGTCTCTACTAAAAATAGAAAAAAAAATTAGCCAGGCATTGTGGCAGGCACCTGTAGTCCCAGCTACTTGGGAGGCTGAGGCAAGAGGATCGCTTGAACCCAAGAGTTTGAGGTTGCTGTGATCTATGTAACACCACAACACTCTACCCAGGGCCACAAAGTAGACTGTCTTAAAAGGCGGGGGTGGGTGGGTGGTCCGGGGGTCTATCTTCTACTCCTACTTAACACATTTTAAAACAGTATCACAAGCCATTTTTTCTACTGAGAAGCTAGTAGGCTTTAGAGACCATTGTTCTATAATTATCCAGTTACACTCTATCAGACTGTGTACAAATCAGTCAAAAACAATATTAAGACAGTTTGCAACTTTAAGCACCCAGCCTTCCTTGGCCTCTAACTCTGCACAGTCAGAACTATGCTACGTTAGACACAGCAGTGATTTTCAACCTATATACCATGGCGCACTGGTGTGCTGTGACAGGATCTTAGGGGTACCAAGAAAATGTTTAAAGATCATTTATTAAATTACTTCCAAAAGAAGTTCAAAGCACAATCAAGTATATTCTTTTTTTTTCTTTACTTTTTTTTAATCAACATAAAGTATGCTGTGGAAGTTTAACTCTAGGTTCAAGTGTACCGTGAGATTAAAAAAATTGAAAAACACTGACCTAGAGACAGATTCTTTTAGAAAACCTGGCCTTTATTATCTGTATGAAGTGTCCATTTACACGAAGTCAGGTTTAGCAGGACTTACTTTTGTTAAACAAATATTCTGAGAAATAATAACAGCAAAATAGTAGTTAAGACATATTGAGTAGCATGAGCCAGACACTGACCTGCTGTTACATATTTAAGCTTCATACTAACTCTATGAGATAGGTATTATTAATATCTCTGTATACAGATGAGAAAACTGAGGGGTCTGTTCTGGTTCTTTTTTTTAACCTGACTCTTCATCATTTGAAATCACTGTTGGATGATTTAGATATACACTTGCTGCTAAAGAAAAACAAAAATAAGCTTTGTTCTTCTACACCGTCAAAACTCTAGGAATGGCCCCAACAAAAGGTCTTCCCATCTTTCATCAAGGAAAATGGCCCAAGATCAACTACCACA